ATGCTACGAAGGTTGGGAATTGCATCCTCATAGTACTAAAGGTATAAGTTATTAAATATATGAAGTTTCAATATACGAACGAAGCTGTAGGAGGTATTATATTACACCGAAATAGGTAAGTCATAGGCAGAGGAAAACATTCAGGATTGGACTTGAACAGTGGCAGGGAGTCCAATGCACAGATGGCTGAGGAAAGGGGAGTTCTGGACTACGTAGGCAGCAAGATGTTCATCTTGTCCAATTTTGTTTAGCAATTGCACATGGATTAGTGACTTGCAGCTGCCCTTCATACAATGACAATTGTGAAAGCCCTATGTGTTTTGACCTACTTGTCGTAAGAGAAGATGAAACCAACTTTAACCCCCCTTCTGGCAGCCTCGGCCACATCCATATGCAGACATTGCAAAGCCCCCTGCATGATGCCTCTGGAATCAGGTGGTGTTTCTACTCTGTGCGGTGCAGTAACACCCCCCCACTGCCTTATTTGCCTGGCGGTGGGGGGCACGGCAACCTGTGCCGTCACCATCTTCACCTCGTCCTGGTAACAGCTGCGTTTCCTAAGCGACGAGCTCAACAGCGGTTGCCTGTTTCCCAGTGACCGCTCATGACCCTCTCCTGGGTTTTGCGCAGCTGCATGTAGTCAGCATCTCGGCGTGAGTGTCTGGAGTCTTAGCATCTCTCCATGCATTTTCACTGTGTTCATCGCGGGTTTGACAACGTTCTGCATGGCTGGGGTGGTTATATGTTGACGTTTTGATGGAAAGTTTGTTCGTTAGGCTCTGCTGAGTTTGAACGCTGAAGTATGACAGCTAAGGTTACGTGCTTGTGTTATCACGCATGTACCTGACCTGGTGTGTGTTTGTGCATGCTGCTTAATTGCAGCTTGGGTTTTTTCGGCAGAATGCGCTGTTGTGCAACGGTGTGTGTCTGCATAATGTCTCTTTACGACCATAGCCTGGTTGTATAAACCAAATTAAGTGAAAAGTTCCCTCGACTACTATTTAAATCAGTGGCAATTTTACTTGGTGTTTTATGCCGCTGACTACAGGTGCATATGCGCTGGTGGTTTTAGTGTCGTGGTATATGTGTGTTCTAGTTTGAGCGGTAGTGTAACGATTAGCGCGTTGCACTATAAACCAGCAACCCGAGTTTGATTCCCGCTCACGGTCAACGCCAGTGACAAATATCTGAACTGGTCCTCGGCCTCCTCTAGGGCCGCTCAGCCTCAAATGAGTACCTAGTGCGGTGTGTAAACATCGCCACTGGGGAGACAAAGGTGGTCGGGCGTGGTTCTGGCCACCCTCTACCCCCTTGTTTGCCATGACGTCCTTCATAGGTGGTCGCTAACAGCACTTTCCTCAAGTCTGTTAAAGGCTATACAGGGCATATTTGACTAGCTTGAATGTACTGGCGCTTGCTTGTGTCCTGCTGTGCAGGTATATGCATATTGCTGTACAATGTGAGTTTGTGACCTAGTGAAAATGTATGCATGGCTTCTCTCCAGCTGTTTCTGACTCCAAACTGTGTGCTCAAGTTTGTTTTCATATCATTCAGTCTTTCCAATCAGGATTTAGATTGATTCGTTTTATTAAAATTAGATGGCATTTGGTGTGTCATCCCTTTTTGCAGCATGGGTAATGGGTGAACTCTTACTGGTGTGAAAGTAAATTGTTAAATGATGCGGTTGAGCGAATGTTAGACATGTAACACCCTTCCATTTGATGCATTTTCAAGATTCTCAATGACAGTCTAATTTATACCTGTTTATTGTACTTGTTTGTTCCGTTTGACTTCAAGGAGAAATTTACGAATTTTTGCACAATTATAAATATTCGCTGGTCACGTGCACATTTCGATGCACGTGTTGTGAGCCCAAGGATTGATTTCAGTTGAGGTGGTGAGTTATTATAAGCCTAGCTGGTATGGGAATACAATAGTACCTCAGCGTTTTTTAATACGTTGCACAAAAACTACTGTTAACCTAAATAGTTGTTAATCGAATTCACTTATAAGTTGAAAAATAAGTAAAAATCATAGTCTGCAAGAGAGCTGTTTCCACTGCCAAAACAGAAATCCATAATGTAAACAAAGCCAGTCGTCTAAACGCTCATAAATGGGCATTGCTGATTGGCCGAGGGCATGGCTCGGCCCCACTTGCGAGGGCTCGGATTGGACGAAATTGGCGCCCGCGTGCATAACGTAAACATGACCGTAAAATATTTTTGTTTACGTTAGTCAACCATGGGTTCCTCTGGAAGGCGAAACGTTAACCGAAAAACCATTAACCGATCCAACTGTTAACCGAGTGACTACTGTACATCATTATCGATATTGTACTTGCTTGGGTCGCTGCCGTTTCACTGCGGCTCTTTGAGCACTGCCCCAGTCTATCTTCTCGGAGTCTTGCTTTGTCTGCTTGATTTTCCAGGCGCCGTACCTCCCACCAACTCTTCCTCATCACAACTTCTCGCATCTACCTGAACCCTCCACATGCTCCTGTTGTAGGTGTTGCCCACGCTGTTGAGCATTAAGAGGCCAAGCCGGACAAATGTTGGGTGCGCAATACATGCTAATTTTTTTACAAACTAATTGTTTTCCCACCATCACTTATTCTATGTTCTTTGCACCATGCCTCCGACCATGCCGCATCTTCATTCGGACCACTAGCATCTCACTTCATCCCGGCGCTGTTCCGGTGGAGGGTAGCGGCAAGGCTTGCGGGGACACCAAACGTCCTTGAGGCCTGGGTTGAGCGGTCAACGAGGAGGCATGAGTAGTGCAGCAGGTACGGTGGACCCTTGTGGCGCTAGCCGCTTGTAGCATTTACCAATCTCCTTGATTAGTCTATCGACTGTTGGTTGGAATCTGACAAAAACAACTCGTGACGACAAAGACTGGTTTGGAAAAAAAATTCAGATTAAGTGTTAAGGTAGATGTTTTATGCAAAAGTAGTGTCCATTTTGCTATATGGGTCAGTTGCTTTGATGTGGAGGATGCCTAAATTGTCATGGAGTAACGTTGTAAACAACATGGAAGTGTTTTTTATGGAACGTGGCAAGAAACTGTTGCAGATATAATCAGGATAAGGAGGCTGTGATGGGTGGGGCACTTGTGCAGGGTGGAGAAGGCAAGTTACTGAGACTGGCATGGCAGTGGCACCCAGCAGAGGTCACTGACCAAGGGGAAGACCTTAAGTCAGATGTTGGAATATGGTAAGAGCAGACGGTTGAAGGTCAGATGTGCCACAAATATGGCATCTGGCAGAACAAATAAAGTGATGTGTGGTGACACCTTTACGTGACCTTGGCAAAGACAGTTTATGGTGAGGGCTTTGGTGTTGCAGAAAACCTTAGGACTTTTTAGAAGTGTACAGCAGCTAATGTGTGTCTGGAGACTCGCATTGATGTCTGTTTTAAGTTTGGTTTGGTCTTCAGGTGGCGATATTGTCATTCGTCCGAATGATTTTCTTGGAAAAAACTTGACTTGCACTGGCATGCATAAAAGATAAATGAATCGCATTAGTAGCCAATAAAAAAAATCACCTGCTGTATTTTTAACACAATTTTTTTGTCCGGACGGTATTTTTAAACACGGGGTTGTCTTTATTATTAGATAGATCGTAATGAAGTGCTCCATTAAAGTTCCCAACGGTGATAATGCTGCAGAGGGGAGGTTATTGACCTTCAAAGATATTATAAATAATGTCCAGACATCAGTCCACTGCTGAATGAAGGTATTCTCATGCCATGTTCGTCATGAAAATAACTCACCACATATACATTTTTCTCGCTGGTCCGGGTAGGTTTCTAAAGCGGGGACAACTACGGATATCACTTGCCACTGATGTTTGCCGTGGCCGAAAAACCAACTCGGCTCGCCGGATTCATAGAGCAGTGCACTTACCTTCACATTGGATGTTGAGGACAAGTTTTAATTGCACACACAAGTATAATTTGTGCTGTTCACAAATGTAAGCACCCGTAACAAAAAATATATATATATTAAAGAGGCTGTGTTGGCAGTTGTGCACAGGCTCAAATAAAACAAACTGGCACATTCATCATTCTGAAGGGTCACTACACAAAGCATTGGTGTATTATGTTTTCCTGTCAAAGGGCAGTGATGAATGTGGTGATATTTTTTGTTCTACTTAAACACACCTATCCTCTATATACAGCTCATGGGAAGAAGAGCACTCAGTATGGTATTTGCCAAATTTGAATTGCTATGGGTTTGCTCTACAAATGTAATTACTTGAAATATGTGCAGTATTTTGTTTGAGCCAGGAGACACTTTTGCTGAACCTAATTGTAAATATAATTGGCTTTGGGCTGTAATGTTGGCACATAATTACCTACTCGTTCAATTAACATCACAGAGGATGAAACATAAAAAACGTGGTTCTTATATTGTAGATTTGTACGTAAAATTTGCGTCACTTGGACGTTAGAGCTGAGCTGCCACCGCCAGAATTGTGGATTCAATACAGGAAGCTGTTGTTCTCCAGTTTAGCGAGTTGATAGTCGGGTCATTGGAACAAAAACAAATCACACTTAATGTATTTTTTTCAATTTGCCAATCATTCCAGTTGTGAGAATTAAAATATATTGGATTGTCTGCCATTTCTTTCTCTTGTTAGGTGTGTGGGAAAGTGCACCCTCTAGTGTATGCATTAAAAAAGGTCACTCGAAGAGATCTCTGAAGCAATTCTGCGGTGTCTTTTTCTGCCGGTCATTCTATGAGCGTGGAGCAATGTGAAAAATATTTATACATACACTTTATCTCATGACACCGATAGGACGAATAAAAATAAAACTTCAAAAAAGACAAACATCTAAATTGGGTCAATTTCAACTCTCTCCTGCTCAGCAGAGCTTGTGGCAGTGCTGCTCACCTCGCATCAGACGGTGCCTTTGGGAGCCTGCTTTTTCAGTGTCCGGATCATGGCGTGCACTTGCTTGTACTGTAACCCACCGCTGGTGCCTGCGTGTCGCATGCAGCAGTGACGGCCGGAGCCAGCGACCCTGAGCGAGGCCGCGACCCGGGGGTCGGGCGTGGCGATGCCAAGGCGCCGTCTGGAGTCCCAGACAAGCAGCCGAGAGCGGCGCTGGCAGGGGGTGGCAAAGGGACAGGAGGAGGGCAGCGTGACTGGGCGCCGTCCGACTCCGCTGCTCCACTGCCTGCTGCAGCGGCGCAAGAACGCGGAGCGGACCGTGGCGTGACACTGGTGCCACAGGCCCGGGACGCTGTTGGGCAAGCCGCGGGCAGCGACGAAGAACGGCGAGGGGCGTGCGGTGAAGCCCGAGTGGCCAGGCTCCCTATTCACCAAGGTGCGCCGGCGTTCCTGTCACTCGTTAGCAGAGCACAGAGGGGTTAATGATTGCTCGCGTACTGGAATGGTGGTTTGGCTGGTGCACCCATTGTAGTTTGTCCCGCGTGTTTGCTGTGTTTTTGTATATGTGCGTGTATGTAAATGGGAAGTGTGCTCTCTGGTGTGCCTTTGTGTGTGTGTGTCAGTGCGTATGCTTGCATGTGAACATTATGATTTGTGTTGCATTTTTTTAAAGATTATTTATTCAAATTGCAGCATTGAATGTAATGAGGCAAAGGGTATGTTTGGTGTTAACATTAATAGCCAAGTTCTGCGAATGCATTCGTGCGTGTTTATAAGGGCAATTGTATCTGCGTGTCCGATTGTATGCATATGTGTGTTTGCGTATTTTTATGGGTCTATTTTCATGCTTGTCCTCTGCGCATGCATGCCTGCTCATATGCTTGTGTGCACATACGTTTGTACATTTCTTTGTGTGCTTTTCCTTCCATACGGATGCTTGTGTGTGCATTTGTGCAGGAACAGCGATGGCTCCAATCCGAGACGCAGGATCCCATTCGTCAACCCAGGCTGGTAAGTCTTCGCTCTGCCATTCTACACTCCGCTTTAATTACCTCCCTCTGTCTTCCACTGCGCCTTTATTTATTTGTGTCGTGCACTCTTACTGTAACCTCCCCCATCCCCCCCCCTTGTTAGAAGTGGTTCTCACGGATTAACCAGCCAGACACCAGACAACAACACGAGGCAAATTTTCACACGACTCGACAGCAGTGACCTATTTGCTCAAGGGATAATGCACAAGCCGCTGCCGCCATTAAAGGCGACGAAGCGGTTTGCATCGACGCTCTTGCTCAGACGTCTCGTCGTCTCTCGCCCCCCCACCCCGCATCGCCCCCAGACACGCGCCGTCATGACGTGCATTTGTCGAGCTGTAAAAATACAAGTGCAGTCACGCGTAAGGGTTGTAAAGAAAGGAAAACGGGATAGGGAGGGAGGGATTGAAGGTTTGAATGAAGTGAGGGCGAGTGTTTTTGTACTCCACCTCGCCGTACCCGCCTCTCCGTCACAACGCCTTGGGTTCTCTACTGCTGGATGTTCGTTGAAATATTCGTGTAACTGTGCACACATTTGTATACGTGGGTGCGTACGTGTGTGTAAATATGGTTATGTGGATGGGTCAATTTATTGATGAAGATCGATTCTTCTTCAGCTCATGATACATGAGTATAATCAGTTATGTAAGAATTGATCTTTTAAAATCCATACACGTATACAATTGGCGATCGTTACCTCTCCAGGTTCTAGAAGAGCATTCAAATCAAATGGATTGCTGTATCCCAATACTTGGTAGAGACTGTTAATTGCATTGCAAGGGCTGCAAAATGTCCGAAACCATATTGGTTACAAACTGGCATTTATGCAATCCAATTTTTATTTACACAAAATACGCGATAGACCTGTGCTTCAAAAGTTTTTCAAGGCCGAAAGACTCATCCTGGCTCTCTGTACCTGGAGACGTATGCACGTGAGTGGAAACCTCGACTTGGCCTTGTTCGTGCGGTACATCGCCCCCATGTGTCTTATTAAAGTGAAACCACCCCGACCCATTTACATGAAGATGCAATCCAAAATAACCAGCAGCACTTGTGGACACACAATGCACCCTTAAATCTTCATTCACGAGACGATAGACTTGACTTTGACATTTGGCCATGCGGTTATGCTGCGATAGTGCTATCCACTGCATTAACATTAAACTGTGCAAGAGTGACGTTGCTCGATCCTACAATGAAGCACCTGTCTGTAACTTTAAAGGATTTTTTTTCCTTAACGAAGCTTCAAACTTGCCAGACAGCCAGGAACTTTGCCACAGCGTCTTCGTCTGCAATGCTCGCTGCTGTCATCCGTTTAGTCTGGTCAGAGGGAAATCAATTCCCCTCCTCTCCCGTACGTGCATCACAGTCCGCACCTGTCTGCTTTTACACTCTGGGCTAACCCAGATGCCCCATGGGGCCTCGTTGGCCACGCATTGACCTTGTGCAGAGCCCCCGTGCACGGCAAGGCTGCGGGTGGAAGCCTGGTTGGCAGGCGGCGGTGGGGTAGGAGCGCGGACCACAATGGGTGTCATGTGATAGAAGTCGAGTACAAGGGTTAGGTTCACACATTACCGAGGTTTGTATCAGCAAGTTGAGAGCTTGCTTTGGGTTGTGTATGCCTTGAAATACCAGTTGCCTTCTTCACTCGCGCACGCACATGTGAGACCGGCATCCATCTCTGAATCAGAGGCTCCATGGTGTGAGGTGCATCTCCATCCTCACCGCTGCCTCTTGCGAGCTCACCCCCCCCCCCCCCCCTTAAACATTACCACACACCAATATGATTGTTCAGTCTTAACAACGTCGGCACTGTTACTGCCACAAACAATACAAAAACATGATAGTAGTGCAAAGTACAGTACAAGAAAGGAAACAAATACAATTAAACCATCTCCATCCTATCAGGCAAACACCACTGAGGTATTAACTTATTTTTCAAAAGCGACCTGGTCACAAAACTATAGCTCAACAAAGTGGCTTATCATATGGACATTTATAGCAGCAAATTAATCTAAATAATCTCAATGCATATTTCTAAATGTGGAGGGAAAAACCGGAGGACCTGTTGAAAAACAAAATCCACGCGACCACGGGGAGAACATGCAAATTCCAAATATACAGGTGTCAGAGTCGGGTCCGAACCCCTGATCTCCTGCATACCAGGCAAGGATTAATTTCTGGCTACAAACGGGTGCCGTCTGCTGGAAAGTCGACGATGACGACTCTACATAGACATTGTAAGGCCATCCTGAGCTTTTTCCTTCGCCCCCAAAATCCCAAATATAAAATCGTGCACATCAAAAATGTGCACAGTTATTTTGCATGTACAAATCGTTTGTACCAATAGCGGTTTACTGATACAGAGCATGATGAGCATTATAGCCACGAGAGGCTATGCCACAGGTTTCACCTGCACACTACCCCACTTTGGTAAAACCAGCAAGATTTGACAAGTGTTGAAATCAAGGACGCGATGAGCTATTGCAACTGTCTAAATAGAGCCAAAAACCAGGAGAATTCATCCCTGGTTTAACCTGAGAATCTCAAGAATGTGTCAATGAGGCTGTGAGTAATTGACAGGCGCCAGTGAGGTTCTGCACTGGTGGTAGTTCAGTGGAACCCTTGACTAGGCCATTTATGTTGCACGAGACACCACCAGGCCAAGGCCTCCCCAATGCTGTCATGATAGTGACTGGCGAAGGTGAATGATGTTGTAAAGCCGCCTCATGGCTTATGTAGTGACATCACTTTTATCACGGCACACATTATACATTGCCATTGTATTTACATCAGTGCAGTGCTATGGTGAAGCACCTGATTGCATTTTTTACAGTTGTTTTCTTATCATAAATGAACGATAAACTCGTGATGGACAGCCTGGGACGTAGACTTGAGTGCATAGGTACAAAGTGAGATGTTTTTTTTTCATCATTGCATAATTAAAGGACGCAGGGCTACATTTAGCTGTGAACACCAAAATGGACTGCTGGGAGGTTTGAGCCGGTGGTGACATCACACTGGTGGGCAGGGTGTGGTGATTTGGCTTTCATCGAGGTTCACAGTGGCCGTTCTGGGGGCATCAGGGCATTTGTAGTGGTATCCGTGCTTCCTCTAACTTTGCCGCCCATTCAAACCCTCGCACCTTATCACCACTCACTGGGGTTGCGCTCCTGTCTACGGACGTTCTGGTTGCCACAGCAACGGCATTCGCGGTGGCTGCAGTGTCTCGCTTGCTGGCGGCTGGAGCACGGCTTGGTGGGAGGAGTCAAGGTGTGACTTTAGGGCAGCATCTTTGCTGCCAGATTCTCTGCATCCTTGCTGCCTGGCACCCGTAGGTGTTGTCTTAGGCAGCATTCTGCCTGCTATATCCTGGTGGGGTAAAAACAGGGAATGAGGTGTGAGGGTGGCATCGACGGCAGCCAGGTGGCCTGTCAGGACCCCACCCACAAATCCCCCACTGTCTTTCCTTTAAAGGGTTTATTTTAGAGCTGGGCTCTGGGCCTAGGCTGCTGAGGCAGTCAGCCTTCATCCCCCAGAAAGAAAAAAAACACACCAAATCGAAGCTGTTTTATTTCCTTTAAAAAAAAGTTTGCAAATAAAATTTTACAAAGTGATCATTTTTGCGAGCAGGTGCCCATTTGGGTAAAAACAAAATGTCAAATACTAGCGATGCCCAGTGCTGGATGATTTTTGGTGCCGTCCTAATTTTCCTCGCGATGGCGGTGGATGAAGACATCGTGATGCATGTAGCCGTGCCCGTCACACGATGACGCAGACATCGTGACAACAGCGTGGATGCGCGGGGCCATACAGGGGGCCCCCTTCATGGCCTTGTCCTTCCGTGGAGGCCCTTTCCGTCTGCTCCTCTTAATTAGCTCGCCACCGTGTTAATTATTTCATGAACCACACACACGGCGTGTTGGCACGCGGGTCTTCGTACGTGTGTGCTCGTTGGCCTGCTTGCCGATTTGTGCATGTGTCTATGCGCGTGTGCGTGCGCCCTTGTATGCCTGTGTGTGTGCGCACGCACGCATGTGTATCCATGTGTGTATCAATGCGTGTGTCTGTTTGTGCGTATGTGAGTTGTCTCTGCCTGCTTGTTTCAGCGTGCATGGCAGATTGGCAAAGGGGGGGAGGGGGTGAAATGGGGCAGGCGAGGGGTGGGGTGTGGGCGCCGAGCTCGAGTTGGCATTGCTGCCAGTCCATCGTGACTGCCAACGCTCCCAGTGCGTGCTCCTGCATTTTTAAAAGCTGCTGCTGCCACCCCGTGCCTGCCAAACCTTACCGCCCCGGCCCCCCCCATGCCCCCCCCCCCCCGCTCACGCTGGGCGTCCCCACCCTCCAACCCCGCGATTACTTCCCAAGCTGCTCTAGTTGCGATTGAGCTGGCGGCGGAATGTACAGTGTGCTTTCTGCCGTCAGCGGGCTCTCGGCCGGGACGCGGCCGTGACTGTACGGGCCCCAGCAGCTGACGGGAGACGCTAATATCCTTGGCCGCCTTTCAAAAGGGAACGAACGCTCCCTGCTAAACGGCCTGGGACTGGAGGGGCGAGGGCGCCGGCGGGTGTGTGTCCGCCCGTCCGCTTGTGTGCGTGCGTGCGTCTCGCCTTTACGTCTGCTTCCATGCTTGTTGTTTCACGGAATTGGGCAGCGAGCAGGGGTGGGGGGGGGCGGCCGCGGTTGTTTGTGATGTTTTCCATTATTTTGGATTTATTTTCTTGGCCCTGTTTTTGTTTCTTGTTTACGTTTTATTTCATCCAAACAGGGTAGAGGAAGCGGTTTTTTTTAGGTAGAGTCTGAGCCTGCTGCCAAGCGCTGTGGTTTGGCCGGGTTAGGAAGGCCCCGTCAAGGGGAATAGGAGCTCTGTTTTCCACGAGAGGTAGAGGAGACCGGGGGCGGAGAGGAGGGGGCGCTGTCGCAGCAGCTAGCGCCGCGGTGTAGGCTTGCGCCTGGCGGCACTTAACCGTGCTGGTGAGCGTACGCTATGCTCCCTGGCTCGCCCTGGTTTTATCCAGACTCGCTCGCCGTCCCTTTTGCAGTGCACCGCCATCCTCTTTTCCCGGTCACGATTGCTCCCTCCCTGCCTGCACGCCGATTCGGGCGACTCTTTGGCAAGCCGTCAGCACGGCAGAGCGCAGGGACGGGGCATGCTGCATGTGTGTGTCTGTGCGCGTGCGCGTGTGCGTGCGTGTACGTGCGCGTGCGGTTTCGCACACGACGTGGCTGCTTTTGCTTGGTGCCGTCTGCATGCAAGCTGCGTGCGGCCATGTTGGATCGCGCCAGCTCCGGGTGACGGGATTTTGGCCGCCCGGTTTGGGGGACTGCGACCCCCACCGCATTCATAAATGCACCTCCCCAATAAAGTGGGAGGATAAAAAAGGGGAGTGGGGGGGGAGGGGGGGGAGAGGCGGCTGGCACGGGACACCCAGGATCTGTAGGCCCCGTCCTGGCACAGGATCTTCTGGAAGAATCGCGGTATGTGTGGACTCGCGTCTGCGCGCTGGCTCTCCTCCTGCCCGGCCATTTTTCCCTCTTTCTCTTTGCGTCTCCGTGTCCGATTCGAACTGCGCCGCTCGCTTATCCGGTTGCTTGCTCGCCCGGCTGCTCGCCCGCTCGCCCTTCTTATGTACGTGCCGGAGTTTATGGAGAGGCATTTAATATTTTCTTGAATTTTTTTTTTGTTTTATTTTCTTTCGTTTGATGTCGTCGTGTTTTTATTTGCCGTGTGCCGGATTCCGGCAGTGGATCATGTCGCCGAGCCGCAAAGCGATCGCTCTCGCAGTTAAGATGGCCGCTGTGTTCTTGCACAGCCGCTCTCCTTGTTGCGGCACTGTCCGCTACCCTAATTTTTAATTTAAGTCAAGAAAAGTACATAGAGGATCATGGAATTATTATCGTTTTCATTATTTTTCTGGTGGTAATTGTTTTTGTTTTGTGGATACATGAAGAAAATGCTTTCGGTGCAAGGCGAGTACGGTGGTTGCGTAACGTGTGCCGCACGTTGTTTCGGAGACGGGGTGGTATGGGTACGCTCCTGATGGCGAGGTCCACACTGCGTTCAGCCACAATTGCCTTGCTTGGCTATGACGCTACCAAATCCTGATTTTACCAAAAATTGGAATTAAACAAACCCGCGAACAGAAGTGAGTTTATGCTGGATTGGGTGGGAGGATATGTCTCGTGTTTGAAAGAAGTATGGCAAGGCCCTGGCTAAATCAACTCATTCAGGCCATGATAGTGAGGGAGCATTTTCTTTAGTCAACACGAGAAATAAAAAAAATTGAGCTTGGGCGTTGTTCGGCGCCCATGAAGGGCCGGCGAAAGTGGCGCTCATCAGTCCCAGCAGCCCTGACCTGGCTCCGCCTCTCACCATGAGCAGCGTGAGCTCGTGATGGCGCTGACTGCCTTTCTCCAGTCGCCGTAGCTAACGGCGGTGCCTGTTCCCTCTCTCTGTCGCCCCCCATCCCTCCTGCATGGTGCACGCTGCAGGGCTGAGCCAGGGTAGCGGCGGCTCCCAGCGCGAGGGCTCGCCCCCGTGGGGGTCCCCGTCCTCCCTGTCATCCCAGGGGGAGGGGGAGCCCAGCCTGCGCGCCGTCTGGGAGTCTGTGATCGTGGACGGCTCGGACCGTGAGGCCTGGCCGGCCCTCTCTCCCCAAGACGCGACGGCACCCGGAGACGGCAAGCGGCAGCCGGTTCCGGCCGACACCACAACAGCTGTTACCACGACGTCCACAGCGTCGGCGACAGTGACCTCGGAGCGCGTCGCTATGGAGGGGCGCAGTGACATGGGCCACTGGGATGCATGGGATTCCGCCGATGCCGGTCCCTCTGACCCTGCCATGTGGACGGCCCCCACTGGGTTCAGTAGTCGCCATGGCTACAGCCTCAATGGACGCAATGAGCACCGAGAGAAGGGCCGGCCAGACGGGCCTGGGCGGCTCTTCTCTAGCGATGCGTGGGAAAGGCCACAGGCTCGTGGCTTAGATGGCGTCGAGGGGCCTGGTCCATCGTCCTGGCGCCCGGGCAGTGAGGCCGAGCTAAGCTCAGGCTGGGGGGCAACAGAAGCCAGCTCCGCCACCACCCCCTGGAGTCAGCAGCAGCAACAGCCATTCAGCGCTACTGGACAGGGGGATGGCAGCGATGAAGATGACGACGATGATGATGATAATGGCAACGTGAAGCCAGAGGGGGAAGGGACGCAGGTAAAAGCGGAGGGCACGGCTGCCGCATGGCCCGGTCAGGGCTGGGCTTCAGAGCCGGGCCCGGCCGGTATCGTGCAGGGCAAAGAACCTGGCGAGGAAGTGGGGTCGGTGACGGCGGCGGAACAACCCTCCGATGCGCTGGTGCCCTCCCGGGACTATGACCCCCGCGTGCTCTCTAACCTGGGCTGGGGTCAGACCCCTGTGAAGCAGAACGCTGCCTGGGAAGCCGAGGAGCTGCAGAGGAGCCAACAGGACGCAGGCAGCTGGAAAAGCCCGGATGAGGGCCCATCAGGCACTCTGGGCCATGCTGGTGGGACCGGGGGTGGTTGGGATGAGGGAGGCGGGAGCGGAAGGGGTCCTGCCTGGGAGGAGAACAATTGGCGGGGTGAGCGAGGTGAACGGGGTGGATGGACAGGAGGAAATGGCGGTGGTGGCCGTGGTGGCGGTGGTGGCTACCCTGGTGCGATCAGTGGTGGTAATAGCCGTGACAGCCCTAGTTGGGACTCGGAGTCTAAGACAGTCGCGGCGAGTGTCTACGGAGCCAGAGGTCGGCAGCAGCGGCCCGGCTGGGGTGCATCTGGCCCCACTTCCACTCCCTCTGGGAACTGGGCTCAGGACTGGGAGAACCGGCAAGGTGGCGGCGGCGGCGGTGGCGGTGGCCGCGGCGGCGGCGGTGTTTGGGATGGAGGGGAAGACCGCGAGGTCCTGGGTGGCGGTGGAGGTGTCATCCCCAGCGGCGTGGGTATGGGGAACAGTCCCTCAGGCCAGGGCTGGGGGGAGGTGGAGGGGGGCACCTGGAGGCCCCCCGGCAGCTGGGAGGAGTCACCGGCAGATTCTCTACGACGCCGGCCTGCGGTGGACGACGGGACGTCTGCCTGGGGTGACCCAGACGCCTACAACTATAAGCCGGTTAACATGTGGGGAGGCCGTGGGGAGGCCGGGCTGCCGGGTGGTGCCAAGCAGGACCAACAGCGGCGCTCGCCTATTCCTGGCGCAGGTAATACCCCACACTGCACGACACCCCCTTCCTGTGTAATGAAGAGTGAGGGAAAATGAAAGGGGCTAAGTCATGGTGCCAGGTCATTGTTACCATTCGGCTTGGGCTAATAACGATAGTGCAAATGGTTAAACAGCAAATCTGATTGGCCAATTTTTTTTATTTTTAAAGAAAGGTTTGACTGCTTGATTGGGGCTAATATTTGGATGGTTATGGGTTTGGTTGCCACTAACAATGGCATGATCATTTTTTTGGTTTGAATCCGAACCCATACCAAAGCAGAGTCGTGTGAGCGATTACACACCGCCACGTAAAAGGCGTGCGAGTTAACTCGAGTTCTCTACTAAGACCATGAGGTGTGGTGGTTATCCACTGCAGTTTGCACTTCAATGCCCCGAGCATCCTGATACCTCATTTCTGGGTGACATTTGTGATGCACACTTCTTGGGTACCATGAGAGAAAATGTTAAATACTTCTGACAACATAACCAGGATCATTGTTTTGTCTGATATATTTCATAGAACTCATCAGCAAGGGAGGCTTAAATGCTCATATGAAGAACAATGTGGACGATGTAACCTGGGACACATTTTATAGAATGCAGAAATAACTGGGAAAAGAGCACTTCGAGAGAAGCGTGTTGTGCCGTGGGGGGATGAGAGAACGCCAGATGCCTTGTCTCTGGAATGAAGCCATAATTCTTAATTTGTGCATGCCCACTCCATAGCCTAGAACCTGCTGTCCTGAAGCTGAGTCTCAATCGAGATTCCGATCGCGAAACCCCCTTTGTGGCCCTGAGTCTCAACATTGAGCCTCAAGCCTGCTCCACTAATTTCAAGATTTTTATAAGTGAATGCACATTTTGGGAGTTTCAACTTACAATGTTACATGGTTTATGTTATCGGTGATGGGGTGCGACTTAAACAAAACAAAAATCTTTAAATTTTTCTCTTCCAGGACCCAGGATGCGACGTGATGGTTGGGAAGGCCCAGGAGGTGGCCCCCGCCCCGGAGGTACCGGGGGGCCGCGAGGCTCGAGCTGGGACGAAGACGAGGCCGAGATCGGCATGTGGGGAGGCGGCAGTGATGTCGGTGGCCACGACCCGGGGTTCCACTACCAGGGCTCGTCGGGGTGGGGTGGCCGCAGAGCTCCTCCACACCGGGTAACGACCTCGAGCACATGTGCAGCTCGCACGTGTTGTTGATGACGCCTTGTCACCATTATTATAACCACACTGTAACACGTAAACTATGCCGTGAAATGCGTTAACCATTCCGTATAACGCGCTTCAACCACTCGCCAAAAGACGTGTTAATCACACCATAGTATACATCAACCACTCACTGGACCATATTTTAACCTCGCAGCACACATTAATCGCATGATTTAATGCATGTTAACCACACGGTGTAAGACACATTGACCAAACTGTCTTAACCACAATGTGTAATTCGTATTTACTGCACCTTGTAACTCATTACACTTTGTAACCCACACAAGCTAAGGAGTACAACACTTGTGAACCATACCGCGTACACACGTTAACCGTGCCACATCACTCGCATAAAGCACTCCTGTGATTGTGTTGTTGAATCCGGGCGTGTGTATTTGTGTACGGGGATGTGTACTGGTGTGTCTAGGGTCCTCCGCGGGGCATGAATCGTCATGACGATGGGAGGATGCAGAGACTCACTCGGCAACTCATGGACATGGGCTTCCCTGTGAGTCCCACGCATGCTTTGACCTTTTAGCTTTTAATTAAGAAATAACCTCTATGTAACTTGATTAACCATGTCTCCCATGCAGCAAGAGCCACTGAGACTCATTCATCTCAACAGCCTGTCACCTGTTTGTATAAAGACTCTCAGATATGGGACAGACTATTTTGATGCTTGGCTCTGTAAAATCATATTTGAATCATTCTTGAGTCTCTAACATGAAAACATTCTAACAACGGTTACTTCTCAGCTGCACATATAGAAATCTCTAGGTAAAGAAACATGACCGTTTTTCTTCTAACTAGGACATTTAAAACAGCTACCATAGTGGTGTAATTCTTAGCTTTCAAATCCGAAGATCATCAGTTTGATTCTATCCCGGCATGGCAGTTGACCTGATGGTACCCAATTTTAATGGTTAAACACCACAGTTACTCCAGGCAGATGACATGTGGTGGGGTTAAAATACGGGTACTCCGACCTCGTCCAAAAAATCCTGTCAGCATGGAAGTCCACTAGAGCTTCCTCCAGTGGAGGACCTTCCACCAGCAGTGATATGAGCAAGCAAGCAATTGTACAGTTGAAGATTTCCCGCTAACTGAGAAGCCAGGGCAATCGTTGCTTTGACTACCATCATGAGGAGAGACGTGTGGCTCAATGCCAATCACTCCGGTGAATGATGAGGGTACAAGATAGTAAGTCGGAGCGCGTGCCCCCTTTTTACCGTGGGCACCAGCTAATGTTTGTGGTGACGTTCGTTTCCTGCGCCTGCAGCGAGACCCGGCAGAGGAAGCTCTCAAGACGAACAGCATGAACCTGGATATGGCGCTGAGTGAGTATTCCAATTACTATTCCACCGTGTATGAACTCTGTTGACAGTGCTGAGGAAGAGGGGGCTGTGGATAATAGATAAATGCATGCATGGCTTTGTGTAATAATCGTTTTTGTTAAGTAAAGCAGCTGTAGACCCAGCACATGCTGTTGTGTGGAAATTAGTTTCTTTAGTTAACATCTCGCCATCGGGGGGTACTGCGCTGGTGAGATGTTAACTGTCGCCTGGTATGGAGGATGTGGGTTCGATCTCGACCCTGGCGCCTGTATATTTGGAGTTTGCTTGTTCTTCCTGTGGTTGCATGGATTTTTCTTTGGGTTTTCCAGTTTTTCCCTCCACATTGAGAAAAATACATTTTGGGTATTTGGCTGCTATGAATTTCCACGCGATAATCCACTTTGTTGAGCTAACATTTGTGGCCGGCTTGCTTCTGAAAAGAGCTCTCGATCCATGGGCCTTACCTGTTAAAAACATTTTTTTAAAATAGTGTTTGCATGGTCAAACAACCACTATTCTCGAGTTGAGGATGCCATCATCCAGCCGTGGCTTGAGAAAGTTAATATGAATTTGGATTTTATTGTAATGTTTTTTTTGTTGGGCACTCGATGCAGGTGCGCTACTCGACCGGAAAGTGGATGGCACTAAACGCGGCAGTGTTGACTTCAGCAAGTTTGGGCCGCGACACCCGCTAGCCAAGGAGGCTCCCCTCGATCGCTCCGCCTTCTTCCCAGACAAGGTTTGATCGTCGGGATTGCCCCCCCCCCTCGCCTCTCTTGTCGCCAATCTTGCCGCTCAAACAAATGCGCGCGAATGCGTGCAAATAAAATTCACGCGTTCCAATTGTGGTCGTCTGTGCTCCGCTTCTCACTTCTGACCTTCATTCCCACTTTTCATTTTACCCTCGTCTGCCCCCTCCCATCCCCCTCCCCCAGGGTTCTGGCCTGTTCGGTGGGGGGTGCAATGTCCCCCCATCCCGCGGAATGGGCCACGGCCCCTCCCCTGCACAGCTGAGGGCTCAGGCGCCGCCCCCATTTGTCAACCCGCAGGTGCATGGCTGGGGAAGGGTGTGGGGTGGGGTGGACGGGGGGCGGGATCATTGGCACGGCACGTGGTGGTGAGGCTGCCGCAAATGTTTTGCTGCGTTGGTAATATGTGCTTGGTCTGTCCAATTACAAACTGCTGACTGGTGGTTATTGCTGTTGCTGCTTTGTGCTCCATGTAGGTGCCTGCAGCCCAACTCTTGCAGTACGCCATGAAGAATAGCGGACTGAACCCCGCGCTTCTGCCCCAGGTGACGCCGCAGACTCTCGCCTCGTTCAGCCAGCTCAACCAGCTGCAGCTCGTGAGTGTCCAGCACCAGCAGCAGCCACAGCAGCAGCCACAGCAGCACCAAGAGCAAACGTGTTACCAGCAGCAGATGTAGTGCCAGCAAAGACAGTAGCACAAACAAGCTGCAGTAGAAGCACAATAAGCATTAACAACACCCTTAGTACTCATTTGAAACATACCTGAATGTGTCAAGTACTTTGGAGAAAATGCTTGGTAAATTATTAAGATGTGTGAGTCTCCCAAAGCTGTGGGGTTGCTAGGTGACCATTAATGGTCGAACAGCAAGTGGGTTGATCTATTCTGTGTTCACCTTTAAAATTTTTCTCCGGGTTCTTGTTTGTTTATATTGGCACCTGTGTATCTGTCAGTTGAAGTTTGGCTTGCCCCCATCCATGTACTCTGGTTTCATCCCACTTGCAAAACTCCTGAAAGTGGAATTGAATAAATATCGTAATGCAGGCTGCTTTGGGGAATAAAAAAAACCGAGCTCTTAGACATTTCTATGTAAATAAAATAAATATTACTTTCCCCAAAGTGTCTCTCCATCCACTCTGGCTTTTTTGCCATCGTCTTGATTGAGCTTCGATTAAACATGACAGTTGTTGTGGGGTGGTGTAGTTGGTTAGTTGTTGACAACTTGTGTTTGGAGTCGGGGCGGGGGGGTTGTGTGGTGGTTTGTGGTTGATGGCATGTGCCTGATAATTGCCGTGTCTTGGATGACTGGTTTGTGGTTGCCTAATGGTTTGTGAATGAGCTGCCTTGGGAATGTGCACTTGACAAACATTTTAGCTCTCCCCCAACGTAGTTCCGTGATTTGCCACATTGGATTCACGAGTTGTTTTTTTTGTCCCCTACATAGTTACATTCATTATTTTATCCAAAAGGCCACAATTACATATAATTTCCACAAATTGTAAAATACAGTAGACTTTCGATTATCCGCACTAATGACGGGGAAGACGGCCGCAGATAATTAAAAATTGTGGATAATCCAAAAATATCCATTTTCCGTGGATCTCTATGCCAAACACCACTAATATAGGTATAAATAATGTTTTAAGTTGGATAGCAGTGCCACGCCAATCAAAATCAATCAAGCTCCGCCCACAATCTCAGGTGTGCGGTTTATCCTATTTGCGGATTAACCGCACGCGAATAATCGATAGTCTACTTACTGTACGTATAAAATTATTACACAAGGTTGGATATGTAAAAGTGAGCACGAGAACCCGTTGTTATTTAATTGTTGCATGGCAACTCTGATGTGCACACAATTGACACATAGGTGCAAGGGCAGCAGTTGTGGCCCATTGTTTTTTTGTGCTTAATTGCTGACTTAATGTTTTTGGTGGTTGGTTCATTCACTAGTTGGTGGTTTTAAGTTGGTGGTGCCTGATTGTTTTGGTGATGCGTTGGGTTAGCGTGTAGCTGTGCATCAATCCATCAGTTAAAGTGACGACTTGTGTATATGACGCGTGCATCAAATCATACGGCAGATAATTGTTTACTCTTACATTTATACAAATTATGGTACATTTCATTGAGCATGCAGGAACTGTAGATACTATATGGAGCATGGAAGACAATGCAAATGAGACGGTAGAAACAAAATAAAAGTTGGTATTTTTCAATGAAGTCGCAACTTCAAATCGTAACATTTCATTGAGTTGTGAAGGGTGTGGATGAATTGACACCTGCCTATTGGGTTGGGAGGTGGGAGTCGAGTTGATATTACTTTGTTTAACCATGTGAGAACTCTTCAAACCAGTATAGTATTATTTTCAAGAGTGACCTGGACCACCGAGATGACAAACAGGAATAGAACAATATGGCAAAAAAAACGAAATTGGAGAGAACAATTGCATGCTAGGATAATTACTCCACATATATATTAAATAAAATAAACATTCCAGGAGGTGCCTATGGTGGTTGTGTTGGGCTGTTCGTGCACCTCAATTTGTTTTGGCGTCTTCTCCACCGTCCAGCAGGCGTATCAGCAGCTGCTGCTGCAGCAGTGCCCGCGTCCTCCCGGTGCTGCCTTCCGCCACCAAGAGCAGCAGGTACTGCACACACACACAGACACACACAGACACACACACAGACACACGCAGAGACACACATACACAGGTCCTTCCTGTGAATCCTAACATACATGCATATACACTTGAGCAAATGCGTTCATCTAGACGCAGAAAAAGATTACCCGTCTAGCCTACGTAGACTGTTAGGGACACGTGCTGTTTGCGAGTACTTAACACCTGTCAAGGCCATCGTGGCAAACAAGAGGGTGGTGTGATGAGCACCACTCTCGCGCACACGGTGCTGACATTCACACCACACAAGACACTCGTTTAGGGCTTTGTCAACTTTGGCAGGACTCAGGACATGCTGACGATTTCCTCTTTTCAGTAATTAGACCCAGGTTTCTAGGTGTGCAACGCAGTGAGCTGACCAGTCGCTGTGTCATCCTGCGCACCACACAAACACGTATACGCAGCCAATGGCCCCCAATGCGTCTTTATACAATGTAGAGACTCGTGCTGTTAGCAAGTGCCTGTACAGGCCAGGACATCGAATGAGTTGGTGGTGTCACATGCACCACGCCTGCGACCGAACATTTAGAGTCCATGCCCCTCCCTTCCGTCTGTGTTGTGTGTGTGCAGGTGTCGCGCAACATCAGTGCCATGCAGCAGCAGCAGCAGATCCAGCAGCGGCAGCTGGCGCAGCTCTTGGGCGGCCGTCCTCCCGGTCCTCCTCCAGGACCCGCTCACGGCCCCCCAGCCTCCTCCAAACCCCCACCCCCCCTGGATGGCCTTTCTCCTACCTCTCTTCTCGACCCCTCAGCCTTTCCCATGCACCCAGGATCAGAAGGTCAAAGGTCTCCAGCGTTTCAGACACTTCATGGCCTACCCTTTTTACCCGGCAATGTCATGGGGGCTGGGCCGGGTCCGATGGGGGGAGGCTCAGGGGTGATGGGCGGTCCTGGGGTGATGGGGGGAGGCATGGGTGTGATGCCAGGGGGAGGAGCTCCCTATGGGCGGGGGCCCAGCCTTGGGTCACCTGGACGGCGGAAGAGCTGGAGACAGGGACAGCCACCAGGAGATCGCAGGGGTACGCAATCACATGCAGGCACTAGCACACACTCTTTAACGCATGCACACTCGATTTAACACAACACGCACAGACGCATGCAAACACGAGCACTAACATGCACATACACACTAAAAAGTGTGCTGTACAAATACTAGCATTCTCATGCATACAGACATTCAGAACCATACAATCACAATGATGCATATTCATGGATTTGTACAGAAACCACCTAACAAATTCACATTAGTGATCTTGTTAGGTGTAAATACACATTAGTATGTTGATTATTTTCTAAGGTTACATTTTTCTCTCAAGTGCTATTATTCCAAATTGCCCAGAGGGGAATGTCCTTTTTGTTGCTTTCATGCTTCCTTTGTTTATTAGGACACCTTCAATCCCTTTTGTATTTTTTTCAAGACGTCTGTTCTCATTATTTGCTGAAAGTTCCGTTTGAACTGCAGGTAGGGTCTCACTCTTTTCTCCCCCTTGTTGCCTCGGCGCACCCCCAGGCTTCCCCTCCTCGCTGGGCGTGGGTGATTTGGGCGGGCCGTTGCCAGGGGGGCCGGCTTCCGTGGCCGTGGGGAGCTCCCCGCGGGATGGCATGCAGCCCGGGCAGTCACGCCTACGCCGCTGGACCCTGCCTCACAGCCTGGACGGCTCTGGGGATGGGGGTCCCTCCATGGACCACGGCGCTCCCTGCAAACATGGTGAGCGAGCGCTGCGGGACAGCGTGGGTGACGACACAGTGTGATCGACCTTGAGCAAAGGTGATGATGGGTCACCAACATGTGAACGTGTGCACTTACATTGTCATCTGCATTCATTTAAAGGGAAAACACAATTTCTTAAAACCATGCGTTGTAAAAAAAGAGAACTCCGCCTTTCGTGTAAATGCAACTCCATATAACAGCCTTGCCTGTCTCACCGCTCTCCTGTCCTCTCACCCGCCCCCCCAGACTCTCCGCTGGATGACTCTCCCTTTGACCCCTACGACCTCTCACCCTGCCGGGATATGACATCCGACCCCTCGGAGTGCTGGTCCAGCTCAAAGGCGCCTGGAGAGAAGGTGTCAAACGGAGCGAGCTCAGGGAGCTGGCCGCCCGGTACGCTGCACTCTCATGATCCCTGGGTGAAGCGAGCAGACCCAGTGAGAGAGAGAGCCTCCTCCTTAGTGGATTGGTTCGCTCAGCTTGTTGTTGCCTGCTGTGTTCATTTCCTTGTTTTCTTCCTCCACACACAGAGTTCCACCCTGGGGAGCCCTGGAAGGGACTACAGAGCCCTGAGGATAGCCTTGACCCCAGCGATACCGGTGACCCCAGCAGCCTAACCTCCAGCAGTCAGGCCGACCGCTGCATGTTCCCAAGCGTCAGCCCCGGTCAGTTGACAGTCTCGCGCTGTGAAGCGACCCGATACGTCGTAGGAATGGAGCTGAATTCTACGGCAATTACTCTCACTCAATCCCTTGACTTGAGGACTCACTAACGGAGCCTTTTCTGATCCCTGATGTTCCCTTTCATTTTATTTGGCTTTGGAATTAAGGGCATTTGTATTAAATGAACAACCCTTGCAAAATAATTTGACTTATTTACTTGAAGTTGATCATAATAATGAAAGCAAATATTTTTTTCCGTTGAAATAAAAAATGGGAAAAGACCCATAGCAAATAACAATTTAGGAGTGATAAGGGCGGGAAATGATCCTCAATAAAAATGTTGGATCTAAATATATATCTATTTTAAAATCTTGAATCGTTTCCTTGTAAAAAGAAAACACACCTCTTATCTGAGGCACTGTTTCACAACATGCAATATTAGCAGAAACATTTTAGAAATACATGTTTGTGAATACAGAATGTAAAGCGGAAAATTCTCGCAAGAAATAGTCACTTGAACCCGTGACATCGCAACACTTCACTCACACAGCATCTAAACATCCAATCATGACGTGTACCTCACCCATAACATTTAAAATGAGCTATTGCCTCTCTACCCTGGCCACCCTACCCGTACCCCGTCTATCCACTGGGGACCAGTGGCTGTATCAGCTGGCGGTCCCCCTGCCTCGCCCCCGCTGCCCCCCACCGCCCTGCCTTGCTCGAGTGCCTGGTCCCTGGGTGGGGGCTCCGCCTCTCCCAGTGTGTACCGGCGTGCGGCCTACGGGGGCGGCGGGGGCTCCCCCTCCGACCTGAGCGCCACAGGTAATGACGCTCGCCTGTTTGTTGTAACAAGGACTTTGGGAGAATCGACACCGCCAAGCTGAAAAAAAAACGGTTAAGAGTAGCCCTGGCGAAACATTGGAGGTGGGGGGGGTAGGGTTGGTCGGTGAGAGTGGTGTGAATACACAATAGAGGGTTTTTTTGGGTTAGATCGCATGAATATAAATGCATCGTTAAACCCACCACCACTGTGGGTGGCCAAAGCCTACACGTTCAACTCTATTGTGCTGGTTGACTAGTTGGTCCGCGGTCAGTAGCACGGTTGGCTATGTACGGTGCAAAAGAAGCTCAACATACATGAATAGAGGAGGACAAAGCTCGTCATAGTGGATAGTTAGCTGCTTGGTTAAAATAGGGTCAGTTGGACAGCTAGTACTAGTGGGCTGGTTGGCTCGTTAGTTTTGGGTAGGGGCTAGTGTTTGGTTGGGAATTAGCAAAATCAGGCATGTTTAGTTTTTGCCATCTTGTCATCTATGTTGCTCACAGAGACCCCTGTTAACAGGGCAGTGGTTGGTCACAGGAGAGCCAAACTGCTGCTGCCTTGTTTCCCTGAGCAGTGTATTTTTTGGAGCAGAGCTGTTCTGGCCTCGATTAGTGTCCACACCTGGTTCACATCATCAAATTCGTAATTGAAAACAGCACGGTGTGGTTTGTGACATCACCACGCCTGTGTGCTGCACGAAGGAAATACTTTTTGTATCGGTTGAATACACAGTTTACATGTTTGTGTCCATATAAAAAATTCGAATCACCCACAATACTGTCCAGCTAAATTGGCTTTTCACAGATGAGTTTACTATGTGTCATTGAAGTGGGTAGGAAGAGGAATAGCTGAAGGCCGTGAAATTCTGGTAGATGATATGAGACATTCAATCCAGAGCTGCAAATGTTGATTCACGGTAACCTAGGTTACGAGCATTTTAATGGCACACATAGAGGATTCCTTTTATGACCATCATGATGTAATGTTTGTTTTGTCCCGATACCCAAAACAGCCAAGCTCCATGACATCAAGTCATCGTGGTCCACCCTAGGCCAGGCCCGGCCCTCGTTAACCTCTCACGACCCTTGGAAGGTCCCCAAAAGCCAAGCCCCTCCACCGCGACCGCCACCGGGACTGACCAATCAGAAGCCCACTTCACCCTGGGGCGGACCTGGGAACCTGTGGGCCAATGCCGAGTCAAGAACTTTGACCCCAGGTAAGATTACATTCCCGCTTTTGTGGTCTATTTAAATGTATATTATTACTTATTTCTATTATTATTTCTATTTATTTTATTTTTACCTACGTAACTTTACCGAAAAACCCTAAGAGTATCACAGTAAGCTTTAGATTAAATTACACAGCAAGTGAGGAATATATGAAGGTATCCTTATTAATTTGATCATTTTTATGAAGGTATGAAAATTATTGGTTGGTTTGAGCCCTGTGTGTGCTGTTGCCACTTGCGTGCGCCTTATTCTTGTGTGTGCACGTGCGTGCAGGAGGAGCCTGGGATAACGAGGTAGGGTCAGCACCAGGGGGAGGCAGGAACAGTGCCTGGTTGGTGTTGCGCAACCTCACCCCACAGGTGGGCACACAAGACTCTTTTCTGACGTTGATTTGCAAAGTCAAAATTAAAGTGTGCGCGGACAAGTGTTGATTGTCAATCAAGAACCGATGAGTGAAATTCCTCATGCTAATGTCAGAAACCGTTCTGTTCTATTGACAACCACTGTTGACTTCCCACAAAAGATGTCCTCATTCGGTTGACCCAGGGGCATTATATAGTCGCGCCACGTCCGGGTTTGAACCCATGACCTATTGATTGTGAGTGAACCACTCATTACGCCAGCCCTTGTCTATAAATCCGGCCTGTTCCTTTTCCCTTCTCTTGCCTCTGGCTGCAGATCGACGGCTCGACGCTGCAGACTCTGTGTATGCAGCACGGGCCGCTCTTGACCTTTCACCTCAACCTGCCGCAGGGCAGTGCCCACGTGCACTACAGCTCGCGCCAGGAGGCCAGCAAGGCACAGAAGTCCCTGCACATGTGAGCATAACGCACACACGCACTGCCAGGCTTTATAGTCGAGTTAATTTTTGATTCAAAGCTTTCGTGACTGCAGGAATTCATATTCTTGGTTTTTTTGGTAAAGTCACGTACAATGGAAGTAATAAAATAATATAGATATTATTAATAAAAAAAGATAAATATTATTATTTTATTATTTCCCTTCTACGTGACTTTACCGAAAGAACCAAGAATATGAGTCGAGTTCATCTTTGTTCAGATGTATGCTGGTCTATCTGAATTCTGGTTCACTTAGCTACTGGTTGAATAGTGCAGTCAAGTGCATGTTGGGTAGTATGGTAGTGTGCATGGTGGAGAGAGTGGCCAGGTGCAATCCAGGTAATATGGAGATGTGCATTCTGGGTAGTGTGTGTGGTGAGCTGTGTTGTGGGTTATGTGCTTGGCCAGGTGCGTGCTGGGTAACACGACGATCGTTGCGGAGTTGGCAAGCGAGGAGGAGGCGAGTCGCTACCTGGCCCAGGGCCAGTCCCCGATGGTTCCCTCCATGGGTCCCCCGTCAACCCCATCTGGGTGGCCAACCGGCCCAGCTCAGCGTTCGGCTCTGGGGGCAGGGGTCACTGCAGTGCCACCCCCCTTCAGCCGGACCAGCGGGGGTGGCAATGGCATTGTGGGTGGGAGCGGTGGGGGCGTGGGCCTCGGACGCTGGAACAGCGACATGCCCCCTCCCTCCCCATCCCTCTGGGGGGCCCCGCACTATGGGACGGACACCCTATGGGGGGTGGGGGCCCCCAAGGTGGGGCATGAGGAGCCACGGAGCATCCCTGCCTCATCCCCGCTGCTGCCTGGAGACCTGCTCGGTGGTGGAGACACCCACTAGAATTCTCCCAAACCCAAGACCGTGCTGTTAAGTCTACACTACTTTTGTTATTTTTATTTCAAGTGTTTATATTTTAACTCGGGTTCCACATTGAAGTGCAGTGAAATGTGGAACACCGTACTTCACATAGCGTGTACTGTAGGTATACGTTCTCGTACGTTTTGTAGGTTCGTCCGATATGTTTTTTTCATTTTTGTTTTCCAAAAAACATATCGTCTTGAATACTTGAATCGTGCAAGCCAATGCTGAAATGTGAAAAAGGTAAAAAAAATGTTAATGATGACGTTGTACTCTCTTCCAAGATGTCACTTCTCCTTCTCCCATGAGATGGAGGCATTGGTACACGGCTGTGTGTTCGCCCCCCTGTCTGACGGGCGAGCCCACAGGGGCAGCCTGGGGACTCCCAGCTCCTTACTTTGCACTGAATGCTGGTTGGGCTTTTTTCTCTCCTTACCAACGCAATACGGGCGTCGTGCGTACGCATTTGAATGTTTACCGAAGGGGATTGATTCACCGTCGCTGGTGACACCTTTCACACATCTCGGAGTGAAGATGGTTGTGTGCGCGTGCGTGTGTGCAAACGTGTGTGTGTGTATAAGTGTTTTTTTTAAATGACGTTTCAGTTTAGTAAAAAAAAAATTTGGATAAATAACACAAATTTAAAAATATATAAAAAATACAAAAAAAAGTTACAGCTTGTATTGATTGCACCATGTTATTTACACACATAAAATACAAAAGAGAATTAAACAGAATGCTAATGGGTGGCCCGTGGACGGCAACAAAGGCCGAGCTGCCCGCCACCAGTGACAGCACTTTAACTGTTGACGGTGACGTCAGGGGCATGGAGTCCTTATACCGAGTGTTTACAGCCCATACTAGTCGTCGTGTGTCCGTAGTCATGGGTTCCTTTAGTAATTTTTTTCTATATATTTGTTTCCTTCTTGCAGAGAAAGTTTACTCTTCCATAATAACGGGGGGTGGGGGGGGGGAGAGCTGATTTAAAACTCAGTTCAAATCATTGGCTCATGGCTGTAGAACGCATACTAAGGTAACACGTATTCCAGTATTTTTATTTCTTTTTTTACTTCCAAAAAAAACAAAAAGATGACTAAAACTGCGTTCCTGGTTCTCAGGAAACCTCGCTGAAACACTGAGTCAGAAAAAAAAAAATAAACCTTTCAGGATGTTACAAAGAAAGGAAAATAAAAACAAGTTTTTAAGAAGTGTATGAATTAAGATTATATATAAAAGTACAAAAAATCTTTAAAAATAAAATTAAACAAGCACTGACATTGCAGAGTATTCCACAAACCCTGGTCCCTGGTTCCTGCCAAATGCCAGAAGAATATCGGCTGGTGATCCTGTTTGAGGGGGCACACCCTCAAGCCCACCCGGGTCCCATGGGGCACGGGCCTCGCACTATGCATCTCCTTAGAGGCATTTAGATTAAGAAGAATCTGTTTTGTTGTTGGGCTATCTAAAATGCTCATGCTTGGTTACACATAATGTTTGAGGAGTATTTACAGTTTTTTCATTGTTGTTTGGGGAGGGGGGTGGTTGGATTAGTGTTGTATTATTTTATCGTTTTGCTGAAGAAGAAAAAACCGTTTCCTTTCGATGCAGCATTTTCGTGCGGTAGGGTTACTGTGTTTTTTGCCGAGTTGTGCGGCTCTGAAACGTTGAGTTTTAAAACGCTGAGCAAAAAAAAACGAGATAAGAAAGCATCAAACGTGTTTGCCTTGTGACATGAAAACGTGAATCAATGCAGGGTCCTGAGAGACCCGACCTGCAAAGACCTCCGCTTACCTATTTTGTGGGACGTGAGCGGGAGAGGCACTCTGAATTACTGGTTTAATGGAAAAATGTTATCTTTTTGCTGCTTAATATTAAAATCACAAAAATACATTGCGTGTTCTCTTTTGCACTTGTGTGTGTTGTTTTCATTATATCTATGTATTTTTACATTTAATCTAGGTGTGAGCAGTGTGAGACAATCGATCCGATTCTTCGTCAGGTCTGATGTTTTGTCGACAATGTCGTTTCTGCCATATTTTGGGGGAGATGGCATTTTGCAAACTGACAACGTGAGCCTGAGGCTGTTTTGCAGCGAAATCCTGGTTAAAAATATAAAAAACTGTTTGAAAGGTCACGAAATTGAAAAAAAAATGGAAAATTACCTTCACAATGGTGTAGCTATGAAGTGTGTAGGCGGTGTAGTGGGCACCGGGGGGGGGGTCATGGGCGCAGATGGCAGGCTACGAAAGGAGGAAAATTGGATAGGGAACCCCTATTTCACTCCTAGCACCAGGGCCCATGCCTACCACGCAATGCCACTGAACGTTCAAATATTGTATCTGCTACTATTTAGTGAAGCCGTCATTGCCATTGAAAAATAAGCTTAACGTGTCCCACATTCACAACAGAGCAATAAAAAAACTGGTTATGGTGATATTTCTAGTAAAAATAAAAAGTTATCTTGCCAAAGTAATTGTGCATTTTATAGATTTTTTTTTTCCCGTTGTGCTTTCATGCACTTTATTCAAACGATCCCTACAGTTTTTAGAAAGATTAATGGGCTGTTGTTTTATGATTGATGCATGAATATTGAGGTATGGTGGCGGTTTCGAGCTCGCACAGGGGATGAGAGCCAATTTGTGACACTTCCTCTGGTCAGAGGGTTTGTATTAAGACCGTACAACATGGGTTGCTTGGCTATAATAAATGTATTCAACTCCACACAATGGAAAACCTGTTTCGGACAATGCCACATCTTTATAGGCAATCTCGACAATGGCCCTTCATGACGGGGACATTTTCTGTGAAGAAAGGCTGCTGCCTAAAACGTTGCCCATTAAAAAAACACGTTTAGGGCAGTGTTATTAACGAAAGTTTGTGTTGCTTGTACACCATTTCCAATGCAGTATCACGAAAAACAGCATACCTGTCAATCCATGCGGTTTGCCCGTAAAATAAAATAAAATGTCTTTCTCCCTTGTGTTGGGATTTTGTAGGATGAACGTTGATATTTATGAGGGCACGGGGTGACCAATAAGGTCTGAATTGGTCTGTAATAAAGTCGACACTGATAAGGGGTTGACAGGTATGAAACCGTTTTCAATAAAGTTTGTAATGTTAGATTTTTCAGACGCGAGTGCGTGTTCTCGCGGCAGTGTAGCAGTGTTTTCACTCCAACATTAAATAAATGACCAGACATCCCAAACAGATCCAGAAAAAAACGAGACTCGGTGTGATTGCGTCAATATTTTGTTCAAGTTATACTGGTAGGAACCTCCTGGTTACACCAGCCCACAGGGGATTATTGTGTCCGTCCGTCGTGCAGGGAGGGGCTGGGTGGGGAGGGAGGGAAGGGCTGGGTGGGGGGGGGTGGTGCTGGGTGGGGAGGGGCTGGGTGGGGGGTGGGAGGGGTGGTGCTGGGTGGGGAGGGGCTGGGTGGGGGTGGGAGGGGTGGGGCTGGGTGGGGAGGGGCTGGTCACCCCGTGGTGCCCTTATAAAACTAAACGTGTAACCTACTCACGCCGGCTTGTGCCCGCCCTCACAGTCCGGCATATTTGCGGAATACACCACGCCGCCGTTGACCCTGCAGGCCATTGACCGAGCAACCCAACGTTCCTACCAGCTCCCTCCGCAGGAATGTGTTTTGAATTGCAAGAGTGCCTCGCTGCTCAATGGGGTGGCACTCTTATCCATTGGTCCTGAATTAATGTTGGGAAATTACACATTCCTATGACGGGAAACTTGTCAAGAACAACCACCGTTGAATTCAATCGCGATGAATTTTATCGCGTCCCGCAACGATCATGATCGCTGGGCCGTACCGCTGTTGTCAATAACCTAACGGTCATTGGTAGTTAAAACGACTCGGAATTACTTAGATAATTGAAAACAAGTGGATTGTTGAACATCCTCAGGCTAATGACAAGTGTTGGGCTCGAGACAAGACGGACGATCAGCGACGATAAATAACAGTGGCAGCCAAGAATTGGAACGTGTCCGAGAAGACGTCCACCGGGGGGGAGATGGAGCAAACAAAATCGGCACGGTGGATTATGAACGTAGCAGGAGAGAGAAGGCGATGGTTGTGGAGGCTTTCATGGAGCAGTGGATTGACCAAGACCGACGGTGAGTCTGGAATCTGGATGGGAATCCCCTGAACTCGGCTGACACCTGGCGGCCACAAGGCCCCAGATCCCACTCGCGGGCGATCGGGCGCGGGCCGCGTTCGCGACGTTTAATAAATCCGAATTGTTAATTAGATTACAGACAAACAAACAAAAACAACGCGCTCGTAATTATTCGATGTAAAGCGATTGACAATACGTTGATTCGTTCGTCGTTTCGTCGATTCATAGCGACGAAAAGGGGCCAGGGAGGTCTGGGGCCTGTGACTGCCGCGAGTTCCCCCCGAGACGGATAGCGACGCCGCCTGCCTCGACGTCGCCCGACCCCCGGCGAGAATCTAGGCAAGGGCGAGGCTTCAGACGCAGCGTCGGTCTCGTCTCGTCACGGGTAATTCCGGTTGTATTTTATACTTTTAAAAAAGAACAGACCCAACATCATCCCAATGCACAATTGTGCTGGATGTCTTGGGACTCGCAGAAGCGTTCGTGCATAAATGACAATTATCATGTAATAACTGCTTCTGTTATACAAAATAGTTGTCATTTTGTCAACCCCCTGAGGATAAAGAGTCAATTCTGATCCCAGGGAGTTTGTTATATTTTCAACTAATTAAAGGAAATTATTAAATTAACAAGGCCTCATTTCGTTTGTTTACAAATTCGTCGTTTACTGGAGCCGTCGTGTGAGGCCCTCGCTCTTAGTTTGAGGCTCGGGGTTTTCGGGCTTGAGCCACGGGTTAACTTTAACCCAGGTTATCTTACTCTTTCTTTCGGTAAAGTCACGTATGTATACAAAAAAATAAATCACGACGTTTCTTTTAAAACAGTCTGTCTCGGCAGCAGGACCATGCTTTCCCAACTGATGACAGACACGCTTGTGTTGTACCGAAAGAACCAAAGAGTATAGATTCCTGCAGTCACGAAAGCTTCAAATCCAGATTATCTTCCCGTGTAGTCTCGTGTTAGAAACGGGGTCCAGGGCTATTTTCAGAGGTAGCTTTAGCCCCGCCAGGAGGAAGGAACGCGCCTGCGAGGACGTCCACTGGGTAGATTGCTGCACAGCTGGAGGGCTTGCGAGGGATTGCAGCGGCTTGGGGATGCCTTCATCCAGCAGTGGATCGATCATGACTTTTCGACTTTGACCCGGTTTAACCTTAATGTATGTTGGGATTGTGCGAGGGTTGAGGTCATAAACCCCCCAGGGTTTACGCCACGCGCAGTTTAGCACCGTTCTAAAACAATTGAGCCGAATCAGAAAATCAGAAGCCAACTTGAGATATATATTCCTAACATCTGGCTGATCTAAAGAAAACTCCGTTGTCTAAATTAATCGCTCCACGTTTATTTTTTACAAAGTGGTATTAATGAAGATGGAGAAACGTCCACCGTCAGCATAGAGGTCAGCTATCCTGTTTTACATTTGCCCTGAAGATCTGTTCAGGTGGAGCAAATTTAACAAATCGGGGAAGTTAGTCTTGCCCAATTTTCACTCTTTCAAACTACAGGACATTTACTCTGATCGCTCTGGCATCCTGTTGAAGGCATGGGTGAACAATACTCTGTAATAAAAGCCCTGATCCACATGACTGCAGATAATAAGCACGTCAATCTGCTGTTATTTGCCTCTTTATTGATGATGAAAGGCATGAATCGGGCCCTACTTAATTACGTGTGTTTGCGTGTTCCTGTTGTCTTTTCTGTCGTCCAGGTGAGACATGGACAGGGTAAGGCTGATCGACTTCACTCCAGCCAGAGCAGCTACCGAGCGCTGGTGCGACGGTGAGGCACGGACAAGGGGCGAGAAGGAGACGCTCGTCCCACGCCAGGTCATCAGTGGCACCGAGGCCAGGAGCTTCTACGAGCACCTCCTGGCTGCAGACTCAGCACAGACAACACCTGCAGAGCTCCCGGAGAACAAACTGCGAAAACAGCAGAGGCGTGAGAGGAGGCGTGAGAGGAGGCGCGAAAAGGACCCACCGATAGGTGGGCAGCGAGACACCGACAGAGCAGTGACCCCAGCTGAGCGGCAGAGAGCCGGGCACCGGCTGCTCAAGTGCGCACAGCTCGGTGATGTAGAGGGCCAACGTCAGGTGCTGGCAGAGGGGCTCTGCGATGCCACCTTCAGGGACTCCTTTGGCTGGACGGCGCTCATGTGTGCAGCACACGCCGGGCACATCAATGCTGTGCGGATGCTGCTAGAGGAGGGCGGGGAGGAGCAGCAGCACGATGAGGCACTGAGGCTGGCGAGCGGGCAAGGCCATGAGCACGTGGAGGTCGCGCTGCGGGACTTGGCGGGGATCAAGGAGAGGGAGCGTGCTGAGCTGGAGCGCGCACAACAGGAGGCGGCTCGCAGACGGTGGTGTGAGATTTGCGCCGCCGAATGCTGCGACGCGCCCGGCTCGCGGCACGAGGCCAGCACCGTGCACCTGCTGAGCCGTGACGCACCGCTGCCGCCCACACACTACCACATCCCCGAGAGCAGCGTGGGCTTCCGGCTAATGCTGCGTGACGGCTGGGACAAGGAGACCGGCCTGGGCCCCGATGGGAAGGGCCGCAAGTTCCCCATTAAAACAGTGCTCAAGCGCGACCTTACTGGCCTGGGCTTCAAGCGCGACCTCCCAGCCCGCGTCACGCACTTCTCGGCGCACGACGAGGATGCTGTTCGCAGGGCCCAGGGGCCCCAGCCGCCTGTGAGCCGCATAGAGCGAGCGGCAACACTGGGCCGGCGGGCGGCGAGCAGGCAGGAGGCGCGGGCACGGGACTGGGAGAGAGATCTGCGGAGTTACATGAACACCGACTGATGAGGATGGCGAGCTGGTGTTTAATGAACATGGTGTGTGTGGAGAATGTCTGTGGACCCCGTAACAGTGGTGTAGTGGTTATTGTACTGCGCATACTTCACACACTGCCTGAGATTGATTCTTGTGCCATTTCATGCATGGAACGTGTTCTGAAAATGGCTTGGGCTTCAGCTAGGTCGCTATTATAGTAAAATAAATATCTCGGTTGTGAACAGCAATACTAGGGAGACAAAAGCAGCTGGTTTATATGGTGCTGGTAAACCAAATTCTGTATAGAAATAATACCTTTGTGTGCACTGTTGCTGTAATAGTTTCCCCCTAAACGTACTCCACCCTGATATTTGTCATTTTCATTTTTGATACAGCTTCTGTGCACAAATGGTTCTATAAATGTTCAGACCGCTCAGCTAAAATGTAAATTTGATTTCAAAATAACCCTTGTATTCCAGTATTTTTGTTGGGAATGATGCACATGTTGGGATCATTTGCTTTCAGCACACTAATGTTTTGACAGCGGTGCGCACTAATGTCGAACAGCAGGCCTTATGTGGCAAAATTCTCCAGCACATCAAACATTTCTTACAAAACTCTGTTATGGTGATTCCTAAAGCAGCCTGCGGTATATTTTGCCATGAGTACCCGTGTTGACGTTCATACAGATACAGAACGTTATTCAATGTGGAGACGAGTGAGGCCCGCGTGGTTTTGTAAGCACAGATGCTGGGAGATTGGGGCTGGCTTCGTGATGTGTGCAATCGTCTCTTTCAGCCAGTGACAACACCGTAGTTCATGTTGCCATCATGAAAGAGTCAACCAAGTCCTTTTTTAAAACGATTTCAGTGAGGGTCTGGAACAAAAACAAGGACAATCTTTTAATCACAATAGTAAATATATTATGTGCATGTTCCAATGCTGCTAAGATGAATTAACATGGTTTATCGGAACTCGGTGAGAACCGATTGAGACGGTGACCCAAATTATTGTTTGTGGAAACTGATGTTCTTGTTTTTTGGCAATAAAAATTCCAACTTTATAAATAAGTGGCTGTGTTATTTTTGTTACCCAAAACATTAATAAAGCTCATCATCACATAAGGGAGATGGAGGTAAAGATATCATAGGATGCATGTAAAGACACATGGCTGCTATCATTATAATTGCTGTAACCTGTATGAGTTATATTCATAATGTAGTGGTCAGTAATATAATATTTAAAATCACACTAAGCACTCTGAATGGCAGTTAATTTGTTCAATAGGACATCCCTTGTCTTGATAAGGTTGCCTTGTTAATTTAATAATTTCCTTTGATTAGTTGAAAATATAACCTCCCTGGGATCAGAATTGACTCTTTATCCTCAGGGGGTTGACAAAATGAGTCCCAAGGCATCCAGCACAATCGTGCATTGTGATGATGATGGGTCTGTTCTTTTTTGGAAGAATTTCCTCCCTCTGATGAATGAGACACCCTTAGGGACATATTTTGCTGTAGTCATTCTGAAGAAGAAAAAAAACCCAACATTACCACAGCATTTTTACCAAAAATCAAGACAAAATTGAAAACATTCACCAACGCATGAATTTTGCTATTAATGTGGCTTTCACTTGACTCCAGCCGTTAATATATTGTAATTAGACCGTGCTATGCAGCCCTCTCACGTTGGCCGTGTGTGGGCCGTCTGTTGGCATTATGAGCCCATTGGGCCCCGTATGGACTGTGGCAACTGTGTAATTATTTCGATTATTTGACTTGCTATACATTTCCACGTGATAAGCTACTTCGTTGAGCTATCATTTGTGGTCAGGTCGCTTCTGCAAAATAAGCGAATATCTTGTAAAAGCTCACAGCTGGTAAAAGAAAAATAATTTACTTTTATTATTTTAGTGATCTGCTTTGCCTCTAATGTCCGTTGCACTTCTATCATGTTGTTGCTATTGTTTGTTGGAACTTTCTGACCCCGTGCCACTACCGGACATCTGTGAGAGAGAGAAAAAAATTGCTTAACAGCTCATCGGATTCCTCCAATATAAAAACAGATTCTGATTCTGTCGTTCTCATGGGGGGGGGGCGTGGGATGGGGGGTGGTATGGGGGTGTGATGGGTGGGGCTGGGCTGGGCTGGGATGGGTGGGGGTGGGCTGGGGTTGGGATGGGTGGGATGGGTGAGGGTGGGCTGGGATGGGTGGGGTGGGGCTGGGATGGGTGGGGGTGGGATGGGTGGGGTGGGGGGATGGGTGGGGGTGGGGTTCGGATGGGTGGGGTGGGGCTGGGATCGGTGGGGGTGGGGCTGGGATGGGTGGGGTGGGGCTGGGATGGATGGGGGTGGGGCTGGGATGGGTGGGGGTGGGGTGGGATGGGTGGGGGTGGGCTGGGATGGGTGGGGCTGGGACGGGTGGGGGTGGGCTGGGACGGGTGGGGGTGGGCTGGGACGGGTGGGGGTGGGCTGGGACGGGTGGGGGTGGGCTGGGACGGGTGGGGTGGGGCTGGGACGGGTGGGGGTGGGCTGGGACGGGTGGGGTGGGGCTGGGACGGGTGGGGGTGGGCTGGGATGGGTGGGGTGCCCTGTGTGAGCTCTGCGTGTAGGCAATGTATCCGCCAGCAGAGGGCCTCAGTGAACTCGAAGTGGCTGCTGCTGGTGGTCATCAGAATCCGTGACGGCATCTGCCGGCGACCGAACGCACGGGCCCCGTTCGGAGTGAAGGACGGCAACCGGGAGACGCAGCCGACAGCGATCGGGGGGCACAGGGAGCGAGGGAGGTAGAGCAGGAGACACCAGCCAGGAGGGTGCCGGGCACCGAGGGCGGCGGGGGGACCCATGGCAGCTGCCGGGTGGAGTGGGGTGCTTCGACTCACGGACCTCGACGACTTCATCGCCCCGTCTCAGGTCGGAGCGAGGCACCCCGCAGACAAACCGCGGCAGTAAGATGCGGATAACGCCCGATGCATACATTGGAGAGTCAATTTAAACAAATAAGTGATATTTAAACTAACTTTTTTAAAACACGCTTTTATGAACTGTACCGTAGTGGTAATGGCAGAACTCCACGACCCCAGGAAGTGGCCCCGAAGCTTGCCACAACGTGGGCAATTAGACCCAAGCCGAAAGATAACATAAAAATAATATTCTTGGTTCTTTCGGTAAAGTCACGTAGAAGATAAGTAATAAAATAATACAAATATAAAACAATAAAAAAATTATTGCTGTGGATTTCACACCTGATTATGATTGATTGTGTTGCAGTCGAAACGTCGTGAGAATTTGTATTGTTTTATATTTGTATTATTTTATTATTTCCCTTCTACGTGACTTTACCGAAAGAACCAAGAATATGAATGCCTGCAGTCACGAAAGCTAAAAATAAAAATAAATGTTTAAAAATATTAATATTTTATGATACAATATTGTATTGTCATCAGTATGACATAAGTATACCAAGTTTGCAGTCGATACCACATTGGGAAGTGGATTAAAATTGAGTTACAAGATTTGAAGATACAACATCAACGACAACAACAACAGAGTGAGTTAAAAGAAAGCGTGTAATAAAGGGGACAGACGTCGTTATTGATGATAAGTTCATGATTTAGTCTGTGCCCCAATTCGATGGTTTGCACACTGTGTGCTGCAAGATAAGTAAGATTTTATTTGCAATTATTGAAGCAAAAAAAACCTAGGTAAGCCAAATATGAAAGCGAAAATGTCTTAAACTATTTTTTTGCGATGATTATATTGCATGACGCGGTTTTATAAGGTCGCCGTTCATTTTCATCGATGAACAAATTCACCAAAAAAACAAAAAACACGGTCACATTTCTCCCCCTCTAGGCCCTTTAGTGTTCGTAGACCCCGAGGCACATTGCCCACTGTGACCTATTGGATCATTAATTAGGGCCCTGCAAACTTGAGGCTTAGGAGGGAAGAGCGTGGAGGAGGAAGAGAGGTTTGGGACATCGGGAGGAAGAAGGGGACTTGGGTTTTCAACATCATGAGCGGCTCCCAAGCCTCGCGCAAATCACCTTGTTGTCTCACGCTCTCAGTGCTCTCAACACTCGCTGTCGTGATCAGATCTCCACACCACCTACCCCACCTTGCCCCCTCGTATCCCCTGATTGTCGCTGGCCAGTGTCAACTCGTACGGTTTATCCCGTATTCGTGTACAGGTAAATTGAGTTTTCAGGTCCAATTGAATTGTCAGGCTTATCTGCGGCACACAGCGCCCAAATCATCCAATTGGGGCACAGACTAAATAATGAACTTATAATAAATAACGATGTCTGTCGAGCGGCTGGACGAAGTACCGCGTGGAACAAGCGGAGTGACAGAGGTAGCAGTAACGTCGGGTTGGGGGGATAGCAGCAGTACCACCTTGTGATGGGACTTTGCAAGATGAACGTTGAGATTTATCAGGGCACGGGGTGACCAATAAGGTCTGAATTGGTCTGTGATAAGGTAGGTACCGGTAAGGGATTGACAGGTATGTTTTTGTGTAATTCGTAATTAATTGCAGTTACAGTGTGACTGTACTTTGAAATTTTGAGCGGACAATGTTTCTGTAATTATAATTGACCCCAGGTCCGATTTACGGTGCTGGAACCTCATCTCACGCCTCCCCTCATCAATATCACGCCCCTCTCATGCCTCCCCTCACCAATCTCAAGCTTCCAATTGCCAATTTCACACAGCTCTCACGCCTTCCCTCACCAATCTCATGCCTCCCCTCACCAATCTCGCACCTCACCTCACCAATGTCTCTCGTGCCGCTCACCGACAGGAGTGCGTGAAGCCCGTGGTGGTGGAGAAGACGCCGGGACGTGCCCTGGGGAAGATCACCGTGGAGCAGGATGGGGCCCTGATGGAGACGGACGAGGTGAGACCCATCTAAACTAATCACTAAACGACAGTAGATTCTCGATTATCCGTGTGCGCTTTATCGGATTTGCCAAAATTAATCATCTAAAAACAGTTTGCCATTGTTATTTTTTAAAATATTTATTACCAGTCACGTGCTTAAACCAAACAAATATGGGCTCTGGTTAATCCGAAATCCACGTGATCGCCTCTGCAGTACAGTAGTTGCATATCTTTACAACAGTGGGCATAGTGTACATTTTTTTTTTGGCGTGGCTCTGCTATCCGCTTTGAGTCTTCTGTGTCGGAGCAGGAAAGTGTTATCACTGAGCATGCGCATCGATTGGTCGATCGTTAGTATTTGTTCTCAATTTTCTTAACTTAAACATAATTCATACCTATATTAGTGGTTTTCGGTATAGAGATCCATGGAAAATGGATATTTTTGGATCAGCAATAATTTAGATTTATCCGCGGCCGTCCTCGCCGTCATTAGCGTGGATAATCGAGAGTCTACTGTATTTTTTATTTTACCAGGCCCACTGAGCTATATCGCTCTTTTTCAAAAGAGACCTGGCCACAAATGATCGCCCAATGAAGTGGCTTATCATGTGGAAATTTATAGCAGCCAAATACTCTAAATGTGGAGGGAAAAACCGGAGGACGCGGAGAAAAATCCACACGACCATGGAAAGAGAGACATGCAAACTCCAAATATACAAGGCGTCAGGGTCGGGATCAAACCTGTGACCTCCTGCGAGGGCCTTGCTCCCACGTTGTAATGTTTAGATCAATCCGTCAGCGAGCCGTTCTGGTCAACGACAAGAGCCGTTTGGTTCGTTCGAGTGGCACCATCTTCATTTTTATCCCGACGCCGGTCACGCCCACGCAGCATGGGACGACGCGGCCACTGCAGAAGGCGAGCATCACACTGGACGACTGCCTGGCGTGCAGCGGCTGCGTCACTACGGCCGAGAGCGTCCTCATCCAGCAGCAGAGCCACGTCGAGATGCTCCGCGTGCTCCGAGAAAACCAGGTGAGTTGTAGGTGAGAGGTGAGTGAGAGGCAAGGAGTGGGGTCATCTGCGAGATCCACCGGCCCTTGCTGCCTCGGGGTCTGACCACGTGCACCGCAACACCCAAAACAAAGATCCCCCGTATAGCCTTTAACAAA